TATGTTTGCATTCGGTAAAACGACTATGAAACACTTCTTCAAATAATTCCTGACAACATTATAAGTATGGATGGATATGCTTACAGAGTAATTAGAATTTTTCTCAATGTGCCTGTGTGTCTTTTATTAATACTTAGAGATTTTTTAGATACAATGTTAACAGAGTGAGTTGAAAGTCCCACTGTTAGGGACTCAGATCTCAATTATGTTATTTAAGTACTCTGAATCTATTTTTTCCTAAAATGTGCAGCTCATCTCCTAAAAGCTACATGTGTGTGTGTGGACTGAATAAACTTTATTCAGTGATGATTTCTAACATGGTACCTGTTTTACAAAATGAATATTTTAAATGTAAGGGTTTTTTTTTTTTCCATTTCTTACCTGTTGATAGGAAGATAATTATTATTTATGCAACTTGGGTAGATTAAAATACTCATGAACCAAAGTATCAAAAACAGCTTGCTTATCATTTTACCAATTCAAGAAAAAAGAGGACACTATAAAAGGAGTTGCAAAGGAAGAAAACATGTTGGAAACAACATAACTGCTCTAACACAATTTCTACAAATTGTTTTCTAGTTCCTCCTATCCTCCTTTACTTAGTGTGAGCTTTTCATGAAATTTGATAAAGATGGAGGGGATTTTGGAAAGATTAATCTTAAGCTTTATTTTAACAGAATAAGACAAAAGACTTAAATTTGGAAGCCTGAATAAAATTTTAGAACACGTTATTTCATTTAATACCAATTTTTATTGTAAGTCTGAAACCACTGGCCTATTTCAGACAGAGAATACTTAAATGTTAACCAGGCACATTCTTCAGGGAAGAAACATGTGGGGGGCAGGATAAGCCTGAAGTGAAAAGAAATATAGAACACTGTCTTTGTGTACTGAGTTTTGTCAGTTGGCTTGGATGTACTCTGAGACTATGGTCCTGCACCCCCAAGGCAAGTGGCAAATGTTCTAAAGATGTTTAGTTATGGTTAGGAAATTTGCATATCTTTACCCCTATTAAATTGCATTGTTGTTAAAAGCCCTTGAATCATAGACCCTGAGTAGGGTTTCTGAGGATGGCTGGTGACTTTGACATGCTGACCTTGTGGTTCAAACCAGCCTTGCTGTCCATTGCTTATCCTGGTGGTGGTGGTGGTGGTGCGTCTTGGAGTGGGTTCCAACTCATAGTGACACTGCATAGGGTTTCTGAGGCTGTAAATCTTAACGGTAGCAGAAAGCCTCATCTTTCTCCCTCAGTGCTCATCCTACAGTGCCACATATTTGCTCTACCAGTATTGCTGATTTAAGTGCTATAGAGTCAGTTCAGACTTTCAGTGAACCCGTATTAGTTTTCCAAGGAGCAACTGGTAGGTTTGAACTGCCGACCTTGTAGTTCACATTCCAGTGCTGATCCAACAGCACCACACCAGGAGTCCTTGCTCTATTTGCTGTTGTTGTTGTTGTTGTTAAATGCCATCAAGTCAATTCTGACCCATGGCGACCCTTGTATGGGTTTCCAAGGAGCAGCTGGTTGAGCTGCCAACCTTGCAGTTCAAAGGCTTTGCAGTCTGGTGCATTAACCCACAGCACCACACCAGAACTCCGTTATAGTCACAAATACATTTGCTGCCACTCTGAAAAGTATCTCACTAGGAGATAGAGCCTCTCAGATTATGGTTCTTGAGTACTTTTGAGGCCTGGAAAACGTCTTCCCATGATTTAACTTTCAGCCAAATGATAAATAAACCTATCAGCTCAACAGGGAGGTTAGCACTCTCCTTAGAACAATAAACCATTCAAGATCAGAAGGGCAGCATCTGCACAGGGTTAAAGTTTAAAATACACATGCGCGTAGGAAAGGACAAATAGAAACAGTAAACCCAAGATGAATGTGGAAAGAGTTCTGTTAGTTGCAGAAATTACTATCCATGCCACGTTGTTCAATTGAAAACCAATTTGTTCTGTAGACTTTCACTGAAGTCAAAATAAAATGTTTTTTAAAAAACTCTAAGGTGCTCTGGTAGCATACTGGTTACAAGTCGGGCTGATAATCTCACAGCCTAGCAGTTCAAAACTACCAGCGGTTCCAAGGAAGAAAGATGAAGCCTTCTGCTCCCGTAAAGATTTATAGTCTCAGAAACCCTATTCAGGGTCGCTATGGATCGGAACTGAGACCACGGCACATAGCCACCACCACCATAAGGAATGGGGAGGGAGTAGTTGCCACAAAGGTGAGCAGTCTCCCAATGATCATTTCTGAGAAGGTGAGTTACTAAGAAAAAAATAAAATAAAATTGGTGAGATGTCACACTATCAAGCCCCTAAAAGCATTGATGCTGTAGTTTTTGCAAAAGTCACCTAGAACTCACACAGATGGAAGTAAATAAATCAAGGATCCTGATGTACTCATTGGGAAGTGACACATTGCCCATTGTTACCAAAAAGGGACTCTGGTGGCAGTGTTTACAGACTTAGCTACCTACTGAAGGGTTCAAACCCACCAACTGCTACCCAGGATAAAGATGTTGCAGTTGCTTCCGTAAAGATTATTGTTGATGTTAAGCACCGTGGAGTCGGTCCCGACTCATAGCGACCCTGCACAGGGTTTCCGAGGCTGTGTAAATCTTTAAGGGAGCAGAACACCTCATATTTCTCCCAGGGAGACGCTAGTAGTTTCAAACTGCTAACCTTGAGGTTGGCAGCCCAACTTGTAACCACTACGCTACCAGAGCTCCTTAAAGATTACAGCCTTGGAAAACTTGGCACTGTAGACTAAGGCGCTGGACTGCAAAGTCGTGTGAACCCAAAGATCAGTGGTTCAAGCTCACCAGTCACTCCTTGGAAACCCTATACAGGGTTGCTATGGGTCAGAACCAACTTGACAGCAATTAATAACATAAGGTCACTACTGGAGTCCTGGTATGGCATTCTGGAGTAAACACTTGACTGCTAATCACTAGGTAGGCATATTAAACCCACAAGCCACTTTTTGAAAACCCTATATTAGGAGCTCTGGTAGCGTAGTGGTTACGAATCGGACTGCAAACTACAAGGTCAGCAGTTCGAAACTACCAGCTGTTCTGTGGGAGATAGATGAGGCGTTCTGCTCTCGTAAAGATTTACAGCCTCAGAAACCCTGTACAGGGTCGCTATGAGTCGGAACCAACTCCACGGCACATAAAAACAACAACATACAGCGTCACTATGAGTCAGAACTGACTCAACAACACTTAAAAATCACAACTTAGAGTTCTGGTGTGGCTGTTGTTGTTAGGTACCATCGAGTCAGTGTGCACTCCTAGCGACCTTACACACAGCAGAACAAAACACTGCCCGATCCTGAGCCAACCTCACTATCGTGGCCACGTTTGAGCCCATTGATGCTACTACTTTGCCAATCCATCTTGCTGGGGGTCTTCCTAGTTTTCTCTGACCCTCCACCCTACCAAACATGATATCCTTCTCCAGCGACAGTTCCCTCCTGACAATACGTCCGAAGTATGAGAGATGAAGTTTGGCCATCTTGGCCTCCAAGAAACACAGATCTGTTGGTTCTTTTGGCAACCCATGACACTTTCAATATTCTTCTCCAAAACCATAACTCAAAAGCATCAATTCTTCTATGGTCTTCCTTATTCATGGTCCATCTGGTGTGGAACTGCTGTTAATATGCTGCACTGCAAAGTTGGTGGTTCAGGTTCACCAGCTGCTCCGTGGAAACCCTGTACAGGGTCACTATGAGTCATAATAGACTCGACAGCACTTAACAACAACAACAACAGGGTCACTATGAACCTCAACTGACTAGAAGGCAGTGAGTTTGGTTTTATGAACCTTATTGAAAGTATCTTAATTATTTTCCTTCCACACAGTCTCAAACACTGGATGATGAACCAAACTTTGAATTCTTCATTCTCAGAAATATATACCACTTTATTCCTTCGAGATTCTCTTTTGATGATGCAAACAAAGGGAAGAGAAGGTGAATGAAAACCAGAGTTATAGAAATAGCTAATTTGGATACCAAAAATGATTCAGGAAAGTAGATGCTGAATCTGAGAGTGACATGTAAGTATTTCCTTTGCAAAAGTGTTTTTGCTCTTCATTTCAATGTTATTTTAACTAAATAAGATGCTAATAGAAAACACAGTATTACTACACACTTGGGCCTTTGACTTCACGTTACTGGGGCTTTTTCTATGACAAAACTGTTTGGATGGAAAGGACCATAGCAATTACACTGTACAACCAGTTAATCCATTTTAAAATTCACAATACTTGATTTCCTCAAAAGGGTCATTCCATAAACAGGACACTGTCCTATAAAGAAATACAACTCATTAATTTCAGATATATGTATTCCATAGCTCATCGCTGTATTTGTTTTGTTTTGCTTTTACTCAAAACAAAACAATGACTTTCATTAATGGAAATGCAAGTTGGTGGGCAAATGGAACTATTCTCCGCTGACAGGACCAGTTTTCAACAATAGCTAGTGGTTTACTAGTGTAGACTGTGAGCTACATGTTTGAACCCTAAACAACTAGGGAACCGCTAATACATAGCAGGAACTTAATACATAATTGTTTAAGAAGCAATGATGAAAAAATTTTTATTTTAATATTTTTCTACCACATTTTACATATTCTTCTTTCTTTAAGCTGCCTCCATAATAAGTTTCTTCAAAATGATCATGGCAAACATAACCTCAATGAGTGGATTCCTCCTCATCGGGTTTTCCCACATTCGTGGGCTACAGATTTTACATGCTTTGGTTTTTTTAGTGGTGTACCTATTAACATTATCAGGTAACCTCATCATTATCATCACCACCACTGTGGACCAGCATCTCCAAGCCCCAATGTATTACTTCTTAAAGCATCTTTCCCTCCTGGACGTCTGCTTCATTTCTGTCACAGTCCCCCAGTCCATTGACAATTCTCTGATGAATGACGGCTATATTTCTTATAGTCAGTGCGTACTCCAGGTTTTCATCTTCACATATCTGGCTTGGTCTGAGGTGACCCTTCTCACAGTGATGTCTTATGACCGCTATGCCGCCATCTGCTTCCCGTTGCACTATGAGATCATCATGGATCCTAGTAAGTGTCAGTGGGCTGTGATAGCCATATGGTTAAGTGGAAGCATCTCTGGAATCTTGTTCACATCAGCCACATTCTCCATCACATTCTGTAAGGCCAAAATAATTCACCAGTTCTTCTGTGACATTCCCCAGTTGCTAAAGCTCTCCTGCTCCAATGATTACCTTAGAGTGATTGGAGTGTCAGTTTTCATGTCTGTGGTGATATTCATCTGCTTCATCTGCATTGTCATCTCCTATATCCACATCTTCTCCACAGTACTAAGAATGCCCTCTGAGGAGGGCAGATCCAAGGCCTTCTCCACTTGTCTGCCCCACCTCTTTGTTGTCTCATTTTTTATCTCCATGGGTGCCTTTGCATTTCTAAAACCAACTTCAGACTCTGCATCTACTTTTGATCTTATGATTTCTATCTTTTATACAGTCCTACCCCCGACATTAAACCCTATTATCTATGGTGTGAGGAATGAAGCCATGAGGGAAGCTTGCAGAAAGTTACTATTGGGTGGACAATTCACCAAGGAAAAATTGTATTTGTTCTGTTCTTGATGGATGGATAATACTATATACAACTAAGATATTAAATAATATTGAATTCCTTCTATATGTGATATTAATGAAATGAAATATTCTTCCCCTCTGTGGATTAAGTATATTACATAAATAAACACTGTATGAGGGAAACTCTTCACATAATTGCTACACCTTTTTTAGTTGTTAAATTGCTATACCTTTTTAGTTGTTTGTTCTTTCAAATAAAGAAAAAATTTAAAAGTATAACATTTTAATATAAGTCTCCTACTCTCCTTTTGTGATGTTATGCCACTTGACTGCTAACCCCAAGCTCAGTAGCTCAAAACCACCAGCTACTCTGTGGGAGAAAGATGAAGGTTTCTGCTCCTATAAGGATTTTCAGCCTCAGATTATACAGGGTCATAACAGCTACAGCTCTCCTTTCCCTAGCTATATAAATGGGTATAGACATAAACATGTACACAACAAGAATTGCAAGCACACTTTTTTATTTTTTGTCTCTAAATAGGCAATATTACAACAAAGAATGAATAAAATAGTGATAACTTTCCCAAATACCACCAAATAAGCATATCAACCATTTATACTTCATTTGTTTAGCTTCAAATGTCCATCTTAATTTTTGTTTTCATATATACCAATTTTACACATTGGTACCAGGAATGTTGGTGGTACAATGGTTGACAGCTTGTCTGTTAGCCAAAAGGTTGGCAGTATGAGCACATTCAGGAGATCTGCAGAAAAAAAAAAAAAAACATCTAGCAATCTGCTTCCAGAGAGTTTGCAGCGTAGAAACCCCTATGGAGCAGTTGTACTCTGTCACATGTTGTTGTTGTTGTCAGGTGCCATCGAGTTGGAACCGACTCATAGTGACCTCATGCATAGCAAAATGAAACAATGTCCGATCCTGGGCCAACATCACTACCACTGCCACACTTGACACCATCAATGATACCACCTGGCCGATCCATCTCGTTGGGGGTCTTCCTCTTTTTCTCTGACACTCCATCTTACCCAGCATGACATCCTTCTCCCGCGACTGTTCCCTCCTGACAATATGTCCAAAGTATGAGAGACCAAGGTTAGCCATCTTGGCCTCCAAGGAGCACTCTGGCTGCACTTCTTCCAAAACAGATCTACTGGTTCTTTTGGCAGTGCATGGCACTTTCAATATTCTCCTCCAATACCAAAATTCAAAGGCATCAATTCTTCTACGATCTTCCTTTTTCACTGTAAAGCTTTTGCATCCATATGAGGTTATTGAAAATACCATGGCTTGGGTCAGGTGCACCTTAGTCCTCAAGGTGACATCTTTGCTCTTCAACACTTTAAAAAGGTCTTGTGCAGCAGATTTGCCTAATGCAATACGTTGTTTGATTTCTTAACTGCTTCTTCCGTGGGTGTTGATAGTTGATCCAAGAAGAATGAAGTACTTGACAACTTCAATATTTTTTTCCGTTGACAAGATAAGAAAGCCAATATTTGGCTTTCACCTTTAGATATCATTTAATTTCTAATACTCAAAGAACATGTCAAAATAACACACTTTGAGTCAGTTGACGATGTCACAAAACTGCTATTTTGATGTGTTTTAAATGGAAGAATGTCTAATACTTCCGGGCAGAATTAGGCAGATGAAACCTTCGCTTTCAGGAGTGTATAAACCTAGATTGAGGCTATCTTAAGAAACAATACCTTGAACTATTGGTCATTTTTTAAATAGAGTGTTCTTTGATTATAGCAATATATATATTTTTTTTTACCTTTGTGTTTTTAAAGGTTGTGACAGTAAGGCTTAACCAAATTAAATTATATCAGATCATGGCTTTCAATATTTAATACTGAAAATTATTTTCTCCTCAAATATTAGACTATTCAGTATACCTGAAAAATTGTGTAAATCATGTTTTAATGTTTAAGTTGTATGCTATTTATATATTTTACCATAATTTCTGAAATTATTTTATAAAACTAATATTTTAATAGGCCTAATGAATCAACAAGATGGCATAGCTATTTTTGTTTCTAGTCTAATGTTTTCAATTCTTTTTTTATTAATTAGTATTTATAATTGATGATAGGCAAATAACATTGTGATTAATGTTTACTGAAATACATTGGGTAGTAGATTCATTCTTTGGCTTATAAAGTTCTTTGTTATCGTCAATTAGTATTCTCACACATGGATTTTCAACCTCTTCATCCATTCTAAAAATTACTGTGTTTGTTATTAAAATGATGCAGCCATTCAATATATATAAATTAATTTGGAGACTGTTCGCTGATTAATATTGTAATGTTTGCTTTCAGCAATAAAACTAGAGTTTTTTGTATCAAGTCAAATGTTTTAATTGTCTTTATTAAAGTACTTCACATTCTCAATAAGTTTACTTTGTAATTTTATGTTTGTATCATTAGTATAAATCTGATCTATGCATTGCAATGACCTAATATCTTGGAACAGTATCTTAAGATATAGGAATCCCCACATTACTATTATTGATATTATTGTTGTTAGGTGCCATCAAGATGCTTCCAACTCATAGTGACCTTATTCACAACATAATGACACAATACCCAGTCCTGCACCATACTCACAATTCTTGTTAAGCTTGAGTCCATTGCCGCTTCCACTGTGCCAATCCATCTTGTTGAGGGTCTTTCTCTCTTACACTGACCCTCCACTTTACCAAGCATTATATCTTTCTCCAGTGACTGTTTTTTACCACCTAAAGCAGAAAACAAAAACTTTGGTTTTGGATCTATCTTACAATTGAAATACCAGCATAGGATTAGGTTTTAAGATAAGATAATGTAGCCTGAAGGAGTTCTGATAGTGTAGTGGTTACAAATAGGGCTGTGAACCACAAGGTCAGCAGTTCGAAACTACCAGCTGTTCCATGGGAGAAAGATGAGACTTTCTGCTCCCGTAAAGATTTACAGCCTTGGAAACCCTGTACAGGGTCACTATAAGTCGGAACCAACTCCACGGCACATAACAACAACAACAACAATGTAGCCTGAGACTTCGACTTAAGAAGAGCAATGCCAGAAAGAGGACACTATATGGAATTCATTTCCTCTGATGTTGTTGGTTGAGATCTTAAGCTTTGAGGATTATATTCACAGTCTATTGGTGAAGACACTACCATATTTTGATATATAACTGAACAGGAATATATTATTGGTGAGTACATTCATTTTTCTCCCCCTTGACCATTAGTGTAAGCATGTCATAATTGACCACAATGTGTAGCTTATAGCAAAAGTTACATGAAAAAATGAAAGTAAGAGCATATGTAACACCGTAACCATCGACAGTGTGTAACATTTAACGCCCACTACTTTTCTGTCCGCTAGTCACACTGTGGTGGTTTGAGTTTTGTTATGATGCTGAGAACTATGTCAAAGAAATTTTTTTTTCTTGGATATTCATACCTTTTAATATTTCACATTGCTTTCTTTTCCCCTCAGAAAACTTATAACATAGAATTTAGTATGGTTTTCAGTATATTGGGCAGTTATAAAATCTAAACAGGAAATGTCTACAAAGTCTGATCTTTCTTATGGACGTAGAACAACACATTTATAAGAGAAAAATCACAACAAAATTAGGCACAGCCATCTCAAGCTGCCTATTGTTCTAAACTTCAAAGATTGGCAGACTAGAGAGGGAGTAATAGCAAAAAAGTAACTATTATGAAAACTTATCACGGTCAACTGTCCTCTCTTTGTTTCCTTTTCTGTTTCCTTTGTATAACCACATAGGAGGGGAGGAGAGGTAACACAGGGCCCTGTGGGAAGGGGCAGGTGTTCTTCTGACTGTGCCAGGCAGGTGCAGGCCTTCCCTGAGGTGGCCTAGAAATGGACTCTGAAAACCTGCTCTGAGTCACAGAGGAAGATTCCAAGTGGTGGAGGGGTGGGGGGCAAAGAGCAACACACAGTGCTGGTAGACAGCCTGGTGTTTGTGCACTTTCAAACCTCAGCCTGGTTAGTAAGAAGAAGCAGCCTAAAACAACCCTCTCTGGGACATGTACACACATATCCAAGGAGCTAGCACCGTTCCAAATTGGAATGCTAACAAAGCATAAATGTTGTTGTTGTTAGGTGCCATCGAGTCAGTACTGACTCATAGCGACTTTATGCACAGCAGAATGAAACACTGCCTGATCCTGGACTAACCTCACTACTGTTGCCATGCTTGAGTCCATCAATGCTACCACTTGGCCAATCTGTCTTGTTAGGGGTTTTCCTCTAACCCTACACCTTACCAAACATGAGATCTTTCTCCAGAGACTGGTCCCTCCTGACAATATCTCCAAAGTATGAGAGACGAAGTTTGGCTGTCTTGGCCTCCAAGGAACACTCTGAAGGAGCAGTCTGGCTGCACTTCTTCCAAAACAGATCTATTGGTTCTTTTGGCAGCCCATGGCACTTTCAATATTCTCCTCCAACACCATAACTCAAAAGCATAAATCCTTCTACAATCTTCCTTATTCACTGTCCAGTTTTCACATGCATATGAGGTTATTGAAAATACCATGGCTTGGGTCAGGTACACCTTAGTCCTCAAGCTGACATCTTTGCTCTTCAACACTTTAAAAGTTCTTGTGCAGCAGATTTGCCTAATGCAATATGTAGTTTGATCTTTTGACTGCTGCTCCTGTCAGTGTTGATAGTTGATGCAAGAAGAATGAAGTCCTTGACAACTTCAATCTTTTCCCTGTTGATAAGAATGTTGTTCATTGGTCCAGTGGTCAGGATTTATGTTTTCTTTGTATCGAGATGTAATCCATACCGAAGGCTGTGCTCTTTGATCTTCATCAGTAAAGTATTTTAAGTCCTGTTCACTTTCAGCAAGCAAGGTTGTATCATCTGCATAGTGCAGGTTGTTAATGAATCATCCTCCAATCCTGCTGCCACATTTTCCTTCATACAACCCAGCTTCTTGAATTATTTGCTTAGCATACAGGTTGAATAAGTATGGTGAAAATATACAACCCTGTTGCACACCT